AAGTAGCACCCCGAGCAGGACCACCCCCAGCAGGACCTGAGTCACCAGTGACCTCAACCGGCGCAGGGAAGGGAGGAGGGTCTACCTGAGACACACCTGAGGGAGCAGGACCTGGAGCGGGGAGAGGGTCGACCTGGGGAGCACCTGGAGCGAGGAAGAGCGGCGGGGGAGGGAGAGGGGCAGTGCGGTAGGGGAAGAGACGGTAAAAGGGAACCGACTCATCGAACGTGACGTCCTGAGACGCAAAGACACGGCGCAAGGTGGGGTGGTAAAACTGCCAACTAGGCGCGTCAGGGACAAAGCCAAGGAAGACACAGGGAACTGCACGGGCGGAGAGCTTGTCCGCGGTGGTATCGCGGACAAAGGCACGAGCACCCCAGACCCGGAAACGCGACGCATCGCCAACCTTCCCCGTCCACAGCAGTGTGGGCGAGGTCTCCGGCAAGGAGACACGGGGCCAGAGGTTGAGCTGATGCGTGGCGTACCGGACCGCAAACGGCCACAGAAAATGGGGGGCAGCCGCATGGATCATGGAGGTACGAGCGACCTCCATGACTAAGCCAATGCGGCGCTCAGTAACCCCATTCTGCTGTGGAGAGTCCGGAAGCGTGAACGACTGGGTGATGCCGTGCTCCGCACAGAAGGCTGCCAAGAGGTCGGAGGAGAACTCACCACCTCTGTCAGAGTGCAGACGCAGGACGGGAAACTCCGTCCCGAACCGCTCGCGGAGCTGGAGACGGGCAGCGCGGATCCAAGGGATCAAAACAGCAGGGACCTCCCCCTTGCTGCGCAGGGGAAAGACCGTGGTGTAACGCGTGTAGTCGTCAACAACCAGCAGGAAGTACCGCTCGTGGCCCTGTCCACGGACGCGGGCTGGGCCCCACACGTCCAGGTGGAGAGTCTGCAGGGGAGCCTCTGTGGGAGGGAACGAGGAGGAGTGAGGAGCGGCGCGCTGCCGCCCCTCGACGCAAGGAATGCAGGGCGGCGCAAGCGAGGGAGGCAGGGCAGGCAAAGACCTGGGCAGACCAGAAACCAGGAAGCGAGAGTGCATGCCACGAAGGCGCTGCACCGAGGGGTGACCAAGGCGGTGGTGCCACAGGAGGGTCTGGTGCGACAAAGCGCGACACTCGCAGGGGGCCGTCGGCTGACCGGACGCAGACGCAGACGCAGACGCAGCTACCTGAGGGGACGCAGTGGTCAGGGTGTACAGACTCGAGCCAGGCGCACGGGAAAACGTGGCCAGGTGTCGGCCGGTCCGAGCACACGTGCAGTGAGTCACCCGCTGACTCGCAGGAGTGAACTGGTGCACCCCCTGATCCTGGAGGTCAGCTCCACTCACCAAGTTCGTAGAGAACGAGGGGAGGTAAAGACCTGACAGCAAGCCAGACGGGGCGGCCGGACATGGCAGAACCGTGGAGTAGTGGGCAAGGACTGGACCCCCAGAGGGGTCCGCCAGGGAGACTGCAACCGGCCGACTAAGCGGCGTGAGTGTGGTGCAGTCGCGAAAGAAAGAGCGAGAAGCACCTGAGTCAAGCGTGAAGGTGTACAAGGCCGCAGCAGGCGCAGAACTAGAGAGAGCAGACTCACCAGCACCTGGAGCAGGAGACGTACCGGCACCTAGAGCAGCAGCCTCACCAGCACCCAGAGGAGGAGACGCACGAGCACCTAGGGCAGCAGCCTCACCAGTACCGGGAGCAGCAGGTGCTATACCAGGGTCAGGCGGGACGCACAGGTAACAGGCACGGTCAACACTAGTAGGCAATGCATACATGGCAGTGAGAATAGCATCATAGTCAGGAGCAAAGATATCTACCCTCTGTCCAAGCAGCTCCAGCCAGTCGGGGAGCTCAGCCTCGTCGCCAAACACTGTACGCCAGGCGTCGCTCAGACGGGCGAAGCAGCGGGACTGTGTGTGACCAAGCGTCCCGCAAGGCTGACCAGTCCTATCACCGGTGCGAATGACGTACTGGCAGCGAACTGTACGCGTAGACCTGCTACACTGAGCGTACCACTCGTGGAGCTGCCGGGACGTAAGTGTCTCGCGTGGACGCCGCTGCAGCTGCAGCTGGCCACTGCTAGAGGCCCCCAACTGACCAGCTCCAGGGCGACAGCTACGACGGCTACCGCGACAGCCCCAACTAGTATACCACTCACTAAGCTGCTGGGGCGTGAGAGACTCGCGTGAGCGTTGCTGGAGCTGCATCTGGTCCCTTGCTAAGAGCTAGCAGCAGCAGCAGCTCGGGCAGGGCAGGCGCGGCAGGCCGGCAGACAGACAGGCAGGCCGGCAGGCAGGCAGGCAGGCAGGCAGGCAGGCAGGCTGACAGGCAGACAGGCCGGCAGGCAGGCAGGCAGACTGACAGGTAGGCAGGCAGGCCAGCAGGCAGGCAGGCAGGCCGACAGACAGGCAGGCCAGCAGACAGACAGGCAGGCAGGCAGGCAGGCAGGCAGGCAGCCAGGCAGGCAGGCAGGCAGGCAGGCAGGCAGGTGCTCACCAAAGGCTGGAAGAGTAAGTGCTCGCCGGGCGAGCAGGGCCGAGTAGGCGCACGACTGCAGCGACGGTGGAGCCGTAACAGCGACTGCAGAGTAGGGCCGCAGCAACTGCAGGGTGGGGCCGCTTCAGCGGCAGTCGCAGAGTGGGGGCCGCATCAGCGGCAAGTCGGGGCCCCGGGAGCTGCAGCGCGGGGCCGCAGCAGTGGAAGGTCGGGGCCGATGCAGCTGCAGGCTATGCAGTGCAGCGCGCGCGGCTGCTGTGGGCTGTGCGCGGGCTGCGGGAGGCAGAAGCAGGCCGCGCGCAGCAGCAGCAGGCCGCGCGCAGCTTAGCAGGGGCTGCGCGCAGCAGCAGGAGGCCGCGCGCGGCTCGGCAGGGGCTGCGCGCGGCTCGGGGGGGGTCGCGCGCGGCAGCAGCGGGCTGCGCGCGGCTCGGCGCGGGCTGCGCGCAGCTGAAAAAGGGCCGCGCGCAGCTCGACAGGGCTGCGCGCAGCCAAAAACGGGCCGCGCGCGGCTCGAATAGGCTGCGCGCAGCAGGAAACGGGCTGCGCGCGGCTCGACGGGGCTGCGCGCGGCTCGGCGGGGACACGCGCGGCTCGGCGGGGGCTGCGCGCGCCAGATCCGGGCTGCGCGCGGCTCTATGGGGCTGCGCGCGGCTCTATGGGGCTGCGCGCGGCTCGGCAGGGCTGCACGCGGCTCGACGGGGGCGGTGCGCCGCGATGACGGTGTGTGAGAGGCAGCAGAGCGGCGCGAGCAGCGAGGGACAGTAGCAGGCAGCGTGCTTGACGTAGGTCTGCGCGGTAGCAGCAGCAGACGGCACAGTAGGCAGCAGGCAGTAGGCTACAGGCAGACGGCGCGCGCAGCGCAGCACGTCACAGGCACAGGCACAGGCGTGGGGTAGCGGTAGGTGGGCCCGGAAAAAAAACGGTCCTACGGACCTACTGCTCTGAAACCATGTTAGAATCTAGAGACAAGGATGATGCATTGATCAAGAGTTGGGTACATAAGCTAACCCTAACATTGGGTTGTACCCCATATGGGCTACCCCACTAGCAGCCTACACAAACACAATATGCATAGTTTGACAGAATCGTGTGTCCTTCTTTAAACTTTGTTGAAGAAGTAGGACAGTCAACTACGGACGAGCTTTCGGCACAAACCATGTGAGCACGAAAAGTCACTCGTATGTCCTTTTGACCATGCACCTGGAACCTGCGAAGTCGGCGACAGTCACAGAATTCATCGTGGGAACGAGGGTTGTCGCGAATCTGGTTTCCGGCGTCGCAAACACACACGTGGCACTGTACGTGGCACGTCGCAACGAGAAGCATCAACCGTGTAACCTACGTGAGTGGGACGCGACTCGATGGTCGTAACTTCGATAGCAAGACTTTTGTGTGCCATGTGATTCATGTGAAGCGAGGGGCAGCGACTCAAGTAAAAAAAAAAAAGAGTAGATTTAGTCGAGTCTTGGTCGACCTAGTTTCAAATGTATATAGTTCAACTAAAAATACGAGTTTTGCAATACACTACCAAAAGACACGCGCCCTTAGTACAACTCATAAACAGTGTCATAGCGAAAAATGTGATCCTTTCTCTTGATAGGCAATAGGTGTGTACGGATTTGATACGGTGGTGACAGCGAATTGCGAACATGCGCACGCATGTCAGGACGTGTCAACTCCCACCAAAATAGCAAGATGGGGAGGCATCGAGTTGCACACCGATCGCCAACTGCAAAATTGCAATCGCCCCATGTGACAGGATCGAGAATTTATGGGGCAAATTTTCCCGATTGCCACAGTTACGCGATCGATCGCTTGCTGGAGGCATATAGATTGCGCGAGCCACAGCTGACACGATTTTAGTGACCATTTTACTGTACATTGTTGACGACTCGCGAAAGCGGGATACCCTGTGTTTGACAAAATCGTTAAAACACTGTATACTCAGCACCCTGATCTCTTGCATGACCGTTCGCCTTCATTTGGTGGGAGTTGAAGCGTCCTCAGCCTCACCTCGGGTCGATCCAGATACACGCCAAGCAGACCAACGTGGGCAGGCTGTGCGAAAAGCGAAGGCGAGGTTGTTACCAACAAACTCGCCACCGGCCCACTGGACAACCCACGCGGGGCTGCAGGGGGGGGGCTGGCGCAAACTAGCATCTCATGTTGAGATTTCGCTGGCTATCGCAGCCAACAGAAACCCGCGGTTGCTGCTTCACGAGCAGGCAAGGGGCCTACACCTGCGACATCTAGAAACGCCGCCGAGCCTTAGGGCCACGTCAGGCCAAACATGGCGCTCACTGGCGTTCCCCCAGGCAGACAGGTTTGGGCTTTGTTTGTGGGAGACATCGAATTTCTCTGCACTTCCTGCACAAATGCTGCGCAGCATTCCCCCGCCTTTATCCCTCAAGCAGTCCCACAACACACATCCAACACATCCAACTCTCCAACACACACTCACTCACTCCCCAACCCATCTGTTCCAGAAGAGTTCCTCAGTTCCCGACGATGGCGCCCACAGAAGCGGATCAGTCTCCCTTCGAGCGAATGTTCGACCTGGAAACAATCCCGGAATCTCCCAATTCCGGCGACATGGACACTGCATTCGAATCGTTTCTCAACCTCCCCTGGTCCGCTCGAGACCGTACTACGGAAGGGAGCCGCGAGAGGAGCGGTGAGGCGAACGCGAGCAATGCGGCACAGCGCGCGGCGCGGAAGCAGCTGCTCGCGGCGCTTATGCAAGCTCTCGCGGACTCAGCGGCGGACGACACCGCCGCCGCCGCCGCCGAGCCTCCTTCCTCACCGAAATCGCTTGATGAGAGGGAGTTCCTCTCATCCGCGGCGCTGGCAGCAGGGTCGCGGAAGCGCAAGGCGGCGGAGATCGAGGAGGTCCCCTCCGCGGATGCGCCTGTCGTTGGCGGAAGCGAGGAAGAGTCGGAGGTGACGCGTCAGCTGCGCCGTGCGATTGCTAATGTCATCCTCCGCGGCAGCGGCGTCGGCAGACCGTGCCCCGCACCCGGCGCTGCTTCTCCCGACGCTTCCGCGCCTCCTGGCGCGGCTGCGCCGCTGCCAGTGGTTACCACTCATGCCGCCAACCCCGCCAGCAGGACGCTCGCCCATGACCCGCTGCCGATGCCTTTTCGCCTGCCCATCGCCAATGGTGCTGCTCTCACTGCGCCTGCGTCACTAGCAACCATGGCCGCGCCAGAAGCAGCACCTTGCATGATCTACGATGACAATTCAGATGACATCGCGGGTTTTGGCGGAAGTCCCATGTGCGGAGGTGGGGCGTCAGATGCGGACGATTGGCTGCCGCGCAACCGTGGGCGCAAGGACAGGCAGATGGCGGGCGGGCGCATCAAGGCGCGGAGCATGGCGGAGAGGCAGAGGCGGGAGAGGATCAGTGAGGGGCTACAGAAGCTGCGACTGGTGGTGTGCGGACATGGGGACACGGCCACCATGCTCGACAAGGCTGTCGCGTATGTCGACTCGTTGCAGCGCAGAGTGACCGCGCTGGAAACCGCCCTGCTGCTGCACCAGGCGTCGTGCAGACACCCAGAGTGGCAGCATGGTTGCTCCCTGGCCTCCCCTGGAGGATCTTCTGAGCTTTTGTAAGGGTTATTCCCGTTGGACTTTGGTTATAGCATTAGAGTAGCCGGCTAATGAAGCTGGATATCTGTCATGTGTCAAAGCAATTCCATTGATCTTGTATATGTTCATATGTGCTCATTTCCGTGAATCAAACAACACTGGAGCGCTGGTTATTGAAATGCCTGGCCACAACTGGTTTGAAACAAGTTGGCTACTAGTCCAGTTATTGTTGTTTGAATTTCTAGAAATTTCTGCGGCAGATCGCGAGTTACAAACGCGGATTGGTCCTTAGGGCGTGTGTGATTTTGCCGAACCTGACTGAAAGTTTGAACTTTTATAACGGTTCGTCATGCATCACCAAAATGTTGACGTCCCGAACCTCTCCCCCCAGAATAACCTCCCCGCAAGCAACATCGAGGTTTCCCGAAACTGTCCCGGAAATGTCCTGTGTCCCGAAAGAAGTTTTCGGGACGGTGTGTTCAGTGTCCCAAATGTGATTCGTCCCAAATCTGTCCTCAACACTGACGCAAGCCCCCTGCTCCGCCCGGGCCGCCCTGCCCAAAATGTCCCGAAAGTGTCCTTTCCATAGGGTGTTGTGTCGGATTGACCCAGTGCACTCAGATCGTGACAGTCCGAAAGCTCACGAGTTCGATTCCCGTCAAAACATCATTCACCAACCACCCCAGCGCTCACCTTCAACATGACCCATGTTACGTCTTGTACACCATTTAACATAGCTGATGGCTCCTTATTTAACTGTTTATACAAATACCATTAACGGCTTTCAAAGGGTGCCCGGCCAGCCCATCCACATGCATTGGTTTACAAATGCAGAGAAACGAAACAAGGGGACGTGATTCTGAGGGTTTCCATAAACTGCAGGGCATTTTCAAACCCTCCCACAAGTGGTACCGTACCGTTGCACAACACGTGATCTGAGTCTACCACAGGACGCACAGCATTGTCGGCAACGCCAGGTCTGGCGCCCTGGTGAGCGTACGAATGTTTAAATAAGAAACCCATCACCTGAGGTAGCCTAGGCTAAAACAAAAACCTGTTTACCAAGAAGAACTGGGGATCGACAAATGACGGCACGATGTGGGCCAGGCAAAGGATGCTCTCCAGCTCGATCACCGCATACTCATCAACCCCACTGGTCGGCAGTAAACGCTGGCAACCAGTCACTGCACAGCGTGGTTCAACCTCATCGTAGTACTTGATAAACGCTCGTTGGATCCTGTTACCATCGGGCCCCGTGAACTGGAAGAGAACCAGGACCCGCCCGAACCACACCGCACCCCCTCCCTCAATGCGAATGTGGCTGAACTTCCGTTCCTCAGGTGCGGCCTTCACCAACTGCCCATGGTCCCCCCTGTCCATCCGGTCGTGGGGAGGGATCGCCATTGCTATGTGCACCTGCAGGTCATAGCACAACAATTGATGTGGGTAAAGACGAAGCATCGCCATTCAAGGTCCATCAACTCCTCTTGCATGTGCTGCGATGGTCGATCCAGGCTCACCTGTAGGCGTGTCACAGTGATCTGCGAACGCGCCAGCTCCCTGTTGAACTTGCCCATCACCTCCTCGCCCAGCGCCAACTCGTACGAGGTCCATGCGGGGTCTAGCGGTGCACCAAGGTTCATGCGCCGAAACGTCTTTGTGAGCACACGCTCGTTGCGGTCGATTGCCTGCCCACAAGAAGATCAGTGAAACATTCACCAGGGAACATGTAAGTACATACATGATAGTCAACGTTAAGCATGGGTTTAGGGGTCTTGTGATAGAACACCATTGACAACAAGGGAATCACCGAACATGGTGTAACAATTACATGCTAGACCACAATAGGAGGAGATGAGTGACCACGGAAGGGACACCCCTCCAGGACTAGAGACCAATGCCACCGAGGAGCAGATCACAACTCACCAGGCGCATGGCAGTCTCGTACGACTTGCCTCCGCCATCGTCTTTGGTCAGTTCCTTGATCGCGGCAAGTCGTTCGTGCCGCACGGCGATGTCGCGGCCCACATCGCGCCAGTTGGAGTTCCGCGCATGGCACTTCACCTCTGTCTTGTGCGAATGTTCCCCCATGTTCGTCGAGTATTCTTGAGGCATGCCTCGCGAGCGGATCAGGTCGGGAAGGTGAGCGATCTCATGCACCTTAATGAGCAGCCAATGGGACTTCTGGTTGGGAAACACTCGCACGAGTGTATCAACCAGCCTGGCATTGTAAGCAGGGGCATAGTACAATGCGGAGGGCCAGCATCGAACACATGCGGGATCGGGTTACCTAGGACACAGGAAAAATAGGAGATGGCTGCCTAAGCACACCTGTGGCATAGTTACTCCTCAGACATCGCAATGCATTGCGTCAATGACGCCTCCGTGTGGTATGGGACCTTGAAGTACGCCCGGTACCAGTCGTTGAACATCACCATGGCCCGACCCACGTCCTCGCGGCCCGGCAGGTGCATGAGAAGCGGCACAATCTGCATCATGGACTGATGCTCCCAAGCGGCGTAGCGTGCGAGTGTACGGAAGTAGGTGACCACGTTCGGCACTCTCAGCACAGACCCCGGCGTCTCGCCCGCAAGAATCCTTGCATTCCTGCTAGTAAAATTAACCGACCACCAATCAGCGGGATCCCTATGCCGCCACGCACTCACGGGCGCATCGTTTTCAAGGTCACATCCCCAGCGGGTGCGTGACCCATCAGACAAGTTGTTGCCACAATGCAATCATGTTACATGCAGATTGTAACAACTACGGGGACCACGCGCCCCGGAGAAACTCATGGCTCACAGTGTGGGTCGCATGGCGGTCAGATAACATTCACCCAACAGTCAAGTAACTGGCTCGGTGCCAGTCTAGTTGCATTCACATTGCAATCACCGTGCAGTCACATGGCAGTCACATGGCAAACAAAAGGCAGTCGCATGGCAGTCACATGGCAGTCGCATGGCAGTCACATGGCAGTCACATGGCAGTCACATGGCAGTCACATGGCAGTCACATGGCTGTCACATGGCAGTCACATGGCAGTCAAAGGGCAGTCACATGGCAGTCAAAAGGCAGTCACATGGCAGTCACATGGCCGTCACATGGCAATCAATTTGCAGTTTCCCTGCAAACAACTTGCACTCGCGCTGCATGCACATGGCACGCACCGGGCAAGCACATGCTAGTTTTCAAAGCCACACCACCTCTCGGGATGAACACATGCCATACACACCACGTGGATAGCATGATAGCAAAGGTCAGGTTTTTTTGGTCTACCATTCTGACAGCACAATATTGACTGCAAGGAACCAAAACACATCTCTCCTCACGCTCATTCAGGCCCCCAACTAACTCAAACCCTCCGTTTACCCGCGCGGGGGTTTGAAAGCGACATACTCACGCAGGGGTATACGATCCTCTCACGTGAGCAAGATGCTCTTCTCGTTTGCCGTAAGCAGGCCAAGACAGCAGCGCATCCCATGGACCCACATCCCTTCGTCCACCGCGTGTAGTACGCAAACACCAATGGCCTCATAGAGATTGCCCCATTGCTTCGTGACATAGCCCCACTCCCACAAAGCGCACTGCCATACGAGAGACGAGCCCACAACTACGTATGTCAGTGCATCGCACCCAGCTTACGAGAGACAAGTGGTATGTGGATATCCAAACTCACCGCCACATAGTGGGTGGACCACGCCTTCTTGATAAGGGCGCGTTCCTCGGGCGTGCACCGGGCCATGTCCTCAAACAGTAGCTTCTGATCCGCCACCGTGCGTGGTGTCAAGGCGGCTGTGACCTTCGCGAGATCCCATCGGCTAACGGTGCACATGGAGCACGGCTTGTTGGACGACGCCGCCATCGTGCACGTGATCTTGGACGACTCAGGGTGGTCACATGCCCAAATGGATAGCATGGGTATCACTGTGTACTCACGACCCGTATGATCCATGACCTGCACCCCCCCGCTGTTCCGAGGTGGTTTTTGAATTGACATATAACCAAAGGATAAAACCACTGCAGCTCTACGTGTATGGTTACACTCACCTTTCGGCCGTGGAAACCTCCATGATCGGGCCCAGCACAATCTTCAGCATCTGTTGAACAACCGCCGTTTTCTGCTCTGCCGACATGTCAGACGGAAGAGCCGGAAACAAGGCGATTGTCTCTGAACCCCCTAGTAGCCACCGAAACGCCTCAGGGATGTTGATCAGGGTCATCCGCAGGGGGTGCGCAAACTGACGTCCGTTGAAGGTAAGGTGCGTGGAGTCACTGAATAGCAGGATGCCAGCCACTATGGCCTTACCCTTGAGCTCTTCCTGACAAACAAGAATGGTATACATTGAATTAAACGCATGCGATGAGAAACCAACAGCGTTGAGGATTGTCATATCGACGGCACGGTGCTCACCGTGGCTTGGTGGAACCAGTTCGTATCCACCGGGCTGGTGTACCTCCGCACCTTATCCTCTCCGCGGGTGATGATGGGTCGCGTTGCGAATCCGTCGACACCAGACATTCGGGCCCATATCTTGAGCAGGACCTGCATTGAATGGGTAAGTACATTAAATGGGGAACGGATTGGTCCGAACGGCCATCCCAGAACCCACGGCTGACCGCATGGCGCACCCGGATGATTGGGCGGTATCGGAACGTGATAGTGCCGAAATCACCTGCGAGCTCAAGATCCACCGCCTCCCAAGCCTCATCCCCCGGGGCGAACTCCCTTTCGAACTCCTCTAGATCGCGGAATGATTCCCAGAAATGCAGATCTGAAGCGGCCCATTTCATGCTCTTAAATAACCGAATGATCACGGTGATGGCGGTGTTGGGGAAAAAATACTTGCGGCATATGTAGGCCAGCGCTATCCGCACGTCAAGCTCATCTGCCGTTTCGTCGGAAGATGCGACGGATGGCGCATCCGCCATGTCATCCTCTCCCAATTCTGCCACGTCCGACCTAACAGAGCCGCCGCTGTTACTCGAAGGCGAGCTATTCGACGGAGGCGGCGATGTTTCCATGGTGGGAATAGCGGCGTGGTCGGTGGTATGATCTACCTGCCCGCGCCAAAACCGCCCGTGCTCATGACCTTTGGCCTGTCTTACCACCTGCTCGGCTATGCACATTTTAAACGTCCGCTGGTGCAGGCACATTCGCTGGTTGTTCCTAAAGGTGCGCCCGCACCACTCGCACTCTTCGCGAGGCATAGTGTTGACGCCGCATGCGGCGACTGGAACCGACGGGAAGGCACAGATGTAAAGTTAATTCGATAGCTATCGCCAGGCTCGGTACGTAAATTAGGGTTCGCCTTAGATGGCACGAAGATGACATTGTTCTCGAGACGGACAGATCGGGGACAGAACTGTACACAACGATTCTTCCCATCCCATCCTTGTTTTGCGCGGCACGCCACCTAAGGCCTTCCCGTTAAAAACAACACTGACGTTGGTTATGTGAAAAATACCTTATTATTACAAATCTTAACCTATCCACTGTAAAGATCACATAATTCAAGACCCCACAGAAACAACAGCCGTACTTTTCCTAATTAAGGACATCATAGTCAAGTTGGAGCCAAGTGCCAGTCCAGAAGCTAGTTGGAGTTGATGTCTAAAAGGAAACAACCCGGTTTACAGTGACACATGGTAACTTGTTAATTAGGGACTTGGGCTCGTGCACTGACGCTTCCCTTTGCGATCCACCCGCATAAGCCTATCTGACACCCTCAGGAAAAGATTGAAGATGGAGATATCACGGATATCGCCGTCATCTGTCCATGGAGAAGCAATGAGTGCCTGGTCAGAGCATCGGGGCAATGGGGCTGTGGATAGGACTGAACGGCCCACAGTACACGTCCAAGACTCACCGTCATTGGTCCCCTGTTGGCGCAGGTGTTCATTGCGGGAGGGACGGTCACGCTCCGCTTGCCATGCATCATCTGGATCGAGGGCAGCCAAGGGTTCAACCAACGTCACCATCTAAAGACGCTGTTGCTGTATGTAAAGGATGGGAACTGTGGTGCTACACTCACTCTCAATTGGAGTGCCGCGAGCACCGCGCGCAGTTCCATTCGTCCCAACAATATTCTGAGTGCCCTGGAGGCCCGCAGACGGTCCGTGAGCTCCGTTGTCGCCTACAACGGGGTGGGGGACACAAGTTACACATGGCATCGATCACCGTCGCGTGCTTGGGGCGTAGTAATCAAAGGCGAGTAAACTCACTGGCGCAGGGGAGCCGATCAACCCGGGGGACATCCTGTTCTCGCGCTGAGGGGTTGGGGGCGGCGCGTCACGCTTCGGGCTGACATTTTCTGCAAGAGCCAAAGACCAGACATTAGTGTTTGTTTTTCCTATGAACGTACAACGCGTACACGAACAACTCACGCATTGGGGGTGCCACATGTGCCTCGGTGGCGGTGATGGGAGATGCTTGTGGACCCCGGGTTGTCTCTTCTGGTGCCTCAACCCCGCGGGCAATACGCGAAGATGTCGGCCGATCTTCTGTGGCTGCTGGCACGTCGTTGACTGGATTCGTGTTCCGTGTCGCCGGTGGAACGATGCCCATGTTTGGCTGCACTGCAGGCCCTGCGGGAGGCTCCTGATCTTCGTCCTCCGTACCAATGGGGACAGGCTCTTCCAGGTCTTCGCCAACCGGTCACTGGTCATCCCCACTACCTTCCTATCCCTCGCCAGCCATGAGAATGCTGTCGTGGCTTTTAGGTGGCGATGATGGCCCAGCGGGACGTGGAGCTACACGCAAAAACCTACGAGGCAGCCGGTCGACATCGGACATATCAGGATATTCGGTGTCAGGGGCGACCTCAATGTCACCTAGTATTGGGTGCCGGCGGATGTACGTCCCTCGTGACGTTTTATTACGATACGCCCAACTGTCCATGTCGCGGGTCTAGAAGCACGATAATATGCGCAAGGGTTTGAGAAGGAGCTAAACAGTCGCTGTTGCGAAAGGAGTGCGGGCTGATGGCAGGTTCGGTTTCGATTGGACTCGATAGTGACACCAAGCAATGTACTTTAAAGAGCTATATTTTTGCAACCCGTGTATCTATTCAAGAGCGATATTTTGCATTATGACGAATGATGCATACAGTAACTTCTTGACAATACATGGCCAGACATGTTTTCCCATCACTATACAGTAACGTGCTCTTCATAAAACTCGCTCCAGTCGTATAAGTCCTAAAAATTTTCCTTTCTCCAAGCGGTTGAGTCTCCATGCAGTTCAATCTTCTCCACAGAATTGAAGTCTGACTCAACTAAGACTTGGATGATTTTCATGACAAAGACCCCACAATCCCACGTGTTTTGCTGTTGTGTTACCTGCAGCAACAACCACGAATGCGTCAACTATGACATTACCCAGGGGCTCGACGACGGATACAATTCGCTCATGCAAAAGCTTTGCGTAAGGCACATACTTACATCTGCCTTCACATATTCTATGCCGGCCACCCAGTCGTCTGCCGCCCCATCGGTCACCTCTGGGCGGATGTTCAGCAGTTGGTGCTTCAAATATCTGCCCTAAACACACATTGACTGGCATTATCACTGTATCACATGGTAAAGCACCAACGTTTAGCACGCAACGGTGAATAACCAGTAACCACACCTTGTAACATGACGTTCGAAACCCTTATGCATATTCCAGGAATCCGCGTGTATTACGCGGGTTGCTTTTGGCACGGTGCCGTCCTTCGCGCGGTTGTCGTTCTCCAAGATCAGGAGACTCCAGTGGTGGCTGCATCCATTTCGGGATGTTAGAGGCCGTTCAAGGATGCGCGGAAATAACATAGTGGGTAGGTTTGTGATTGGCAACGAATGTGCAAGTATTAAGCTGCAAACTCACTCAAAATGAAGCGGGATAAAAACCCATCGCCAAGCAAGGATGTTCTCCCCGTGAGCGATGTTGCTAGTAGGCCACTTTCGACAAGTCGTCGCGATTTGTGGGTAGAATAAGGTCGTCACATAAAGCCACGTGTGGTCTTCAATTTCATGTTCGAACTGAAGCATGCTGGTAAAGTATTGATCGGAAGGGTGGATGTTAATCAATGATAAGAGATGGAGTCAGTGGCGTATGAGTTTTATGAGGGAAAGAATGATAGCTTACACTCCAAACCAATCGATGACGTCACCACAAACCCATTCCTGGTCTAGCAGCGTGTGGGCGTGCCCTACACACATATTGAACCAACTGCTACCGAGGGGGTAGGGCATCAGGTACTTAAATGATGGACCATGCTGCTTAGACGCCGCGCGCTCGGGTGATGCACACTCCTTGGCGGATAGAGAAGGTAAGAAGTACGTAAGCGGATTCGAAATTAGTGAGGGGAAATAGAACTAAATGATTGATGGGGGGGAAATACTTGGAACCTGTTTCGCCAGCGGTTTCTGCGAAAAGTTAGGTTACCGCGTGAACCAGCCCATGGGTACATTCGACAGCGAACCGGTTTGTGCGGGGGGTGCAGCTCCCCCATTCGATGTATCCTAGGCGAGATGTTGCGCACACAACATGCTGTCACGTCATGGTACACGTGTCACTTTTGAGTGCTTGTGAGTGGGCGTCTGTTCAACCGAACCTTGTTTCCTGATTCGCTTTAGCAATGACTTGAGGTTCGAGTTTGACAGGTTGACTGGCCTGGCTCGGAGTATGTAACATAACATACGAGACGCAGAGGAGGAAGTGGCTGGTTACATGCTACAGTGTCGATCCTAGCTGTGGAACGCGCGTCGTCGGGGTACCGAACCACCCTTGCTGCGGGGTTGTACAACGCAGGAAGATTGGCCGCTGCCTTGCGGTGCGTCCAATGTACAAGCCCAGGCAAACGCCACAATCTACGGTTACCCGTGCCTGTGGGGTTTCGCATCCACGGCTTCATATACAATGTTGCTCGATCTCAACGCTTTTGTGTGATTGATGGAAGTGGTTTTCACCAGTACTTTCCCGAAACCCTTCCAGGACTCTCTCCTCAACACTCCCATACGGACACTCCCTTCGGACAGTTTTAAGACGTTTGTGCAGTGGCGATTAATCATGTCATTACCTCCCGAGCGCCCGATGCGTGATAGAAGAACTCCGGACCATCTGAAGGACTTCATAGTGCCGAAGCCCAAGGTTAGACCACTCGATCACAGGTGGGCTGCCGGGGTAATTGACACACGTGCCCTTGTTCGCGCCTACCGGAAGAAAAACGCGACTAGGAAAGGGCACCTCCCACCAGAGAGCGTGGCACGCACGCCTGTCAACGTGCCTGTCGAGGCGGTAGTTGCACGTCAGATCCCATATGGAATACCGTACAAGACTGTGCTGAAGGAGCAGGACGCTAATAGTCGACGCCGCGTTAAGGCGGCCGCAGTTAGTGGCTTGCCAGGAGATTGCAGGAAGGGCAAGGGTGCGGCTAGCAAAGGTGAGAGCGGCTGAAGTTGTTTGGCAATGTCGTGATCAACAGTGCGGTTATCCGTGTCAGTCTGAGATATGTTGTCCCGCCGGTGCGCCCGTGTTTGCCAGATGCAGGCGTCACAATAAATAATTGCTCAACGGATGGCGAGCCGCCTGCTTATCCCGACAATAGCGGGGGAATCGAGCCTGGATGGCCACGTAGCTGTGATACTAATCCGGGCGCGTGGTTTCATTTCAACGGGGAGCTGTACGTCGTGCCGCATTTGCCGTGCACAGAGGCATAATCGGAGAATCACGCAACCACTAGTCGGAGCGGGTCAGGCGGTGACGCCACAGACTCTGCGGCAGAAGAGTGGGTGGCGTCCGACGAGGACATCGTGACCGATTCAGATATCGAGCGTCCATCCTTCTCTCACGCTTACCCACCAGGCACTCCCAGCGCCATCGAGGGGGCGGGCGAGACTAAGGCGCGGAAACGACCGGGTACAAGGAAGACGAAGAACGTTCTCGATCCCATGGCGACTGTCGCTCGAGTGTTACCTCACAACACCCGGACAGGCGCGCGTGGGAGGGATTACATCAACATGTATGCCGCGGCGGGCCAGGAGACGTTGAGCGACGGCGCGCTACGAGCCGCAGCGCTTAAGGGGGAGCTGCCGTCCCATCAGGCATTTGATGCTGGTGAACCTCATGTCGAACCCGCGGAGGTAGAAGAGCCCAATGGCAACGAGGAGGATATTGAGCCGCTTTTGCTGGGCGACGAGTGGGCATGGCTGGAACACGTCGACGGCGCGACTGCATCTACGCATAGCCCGCATTGCTCAGGGCAGGCCAAACCGATGGTCACGCACACGCATCCTCCAGCCGATGGCCCGTTAGATGCTCCGGTGGGGTCCGGTGCATCTAAGCCGGTAGTGACCCCATCTACGCCCCTGCACATACCACCCGTTGCACTGTCGGATCCATCGCCGCGCATTGTTACACCCCGTGGTCGCGCGCAGGCTCCACCCCCACTACCTGGTGGTTCAAAGGCTCATGCGGCGTTCTGCTCTCCAGGGAGAGCTCCATTCAGTTCTCCCCGGTGTGCCCCTATCAGCTCCCCTGTTTCACAGGCACCTGCGAACTACACTCCGGTGCGGCGCGAGGAGAATTCACCAGCTCGCGAGTCCGGCGCATCTGCATCGGACGGAGGTGCGAACGGAGTGGTTGCGCGCGAGGAGCGCGGGGCGACACCTGAGGGCCGGCGTGTAGCTGAGCTGGAGGAGGAGATGCGCGAGCTTAAGCGCATGGTTGCGCGGCAATCGCGAAACGCTCCCCATGGACGCGGGCAAGGAGTCCGGCGCAGCCAGGGCGGACATCGTGACGCCAAACAAAGAGCAGCTGCCAACGAACGCAGTACCATTGCCTACTGTGATCACCGCGCCGCGGGCGCGCTGCGACCCTGCCTATACCGCCCCCCCAGGACCAGATGCAAAGACGGCGTCCCACAGCTCAGATGGGGGGCCGAAGACGGCGCCTGTGCCGAAGATTGATGTGGAAGGGGCACGCGTGGCTGCAAATCCCCTGCTCTACGACCCCATGGACGATTCACCCGCGGCGGACGCCGATGCCAGTGTCCACGTTCGGCCTGTTACAAACAAACAGGTAGAGAGACCGTTGAAGAGGGTGCTATTCAACAACCCTCTATCCCCTACTCTAAGGCCTGAGCGCCCTCCCAGGCAGGATGGTGTGGCGGGCGGGGCAGGTGGTGGTTTGGGGCGGCAGGACGGATGCGCTGTCGGACCGCGGGGGACAGATCATGGCGGTCCGTCCGTTGGCGCCTTCGCCGGACCCTACACACCAGCAAGGTCTGAGAACGTGCGGTCGAGAGGGAGGCGAGAACGGGGCGAGGATGCGACGGTGGTCATCGTGGTGGATTACGACCCTGACGCCCGAGTCCTCAGTCTTCCTCGAGGGATGCCACCTGCTGAAAAGATACTGGTAGGTTGTATGGGATGCTAGGCACCGTCACACCCTCACGTGGCCTTAGAGGATGACGGAAGGAAGGGTATTGAATAACCCGGCCATCAACCTTCCCAACCCATTATCCCCCACCAACAGGAGTACGCAAAGCACGCGTGGGACTTGATGGTGCGCCACACCAATGCTCTTGCAGTCACGTATTTTCCGAAGAACGGCGTACGGAACAAGGCGCTGCGCCTATCCCTGCGGCGCCACTTTGACGTGGTTGAGATAGACATAAGGGTGGCTGTGGCGGATGGGAACTACAGCTCGAAGGTCGGCAAGGTGTTTTCCAAGTTCCGGAATGAATCGTCAACGAATGCACGTCATGTCATCCTGCGCGTGCTACGCATCAATGCAGGGGGGCCGTACAAGCAGGAGATCACCCCCACAAAGAAGGAGGCGATCTACACTGCACATGGGCCGCGTAAGTAGAAGGGATGACGGGGGGAGGGGGAGATAGGTCCGATGCGAGGGATTGTGCCTTAAACCCTGGGGCAATGGTAGTGGCTGGAGGAGGCATAAACCCTGGTATGTCCCACGATGTGATTGCCTGCAGCAGTGGTCCACGCCTCCCCTATTCAGACCTACACTGGGTATGTGAGGTGAGGTGGGTAAATTCTATACCCCTGCAATGTGGGTCTGATGGTCTTTTCACCCTGATCCGTACCCTAAACCCTGTTGCATTGGTGTTTGGACAGGAGTGCACGCGGGATTTTTGGTCTCCATTTGGAGCCACGCTGAGAGGGACCGCCGGCCCTTCACCAACGCGCTGTTCATGGATGCATGCCTCGCAGCATACCCAGAGTAGGAGCGCGGGACTGTGCTTGTGCTCGTGCCATACCATATCGCATGGGTCATGATGTCGGTACGTGTGGATCCGCTTTGGTGTTGTGTTTTTGTCTTCGTTCTACCGCCACACGGAGTATTGACAATGGCTCTCTCCGTTTGTACTGCTGTTCACAGGTGGATTTTGGGCTGCAAAACCTCCGTGACTCCACCATGCACCTGAGCGGGAGCCCCTTGGAGACAGAGACTTGCATGAAGACTGCCACGGACAAAGTGTGGAGGGTGATCAGGATGTGGCTCCACGTGGCACGTGGACAGTGGTACGACCCTGCTCTGAGGGCGTACCACTGGGGGAATGAAGGGCTGTATATTAATGAAAGTGATTTGAGCGAGTACCGGCCCGAGAACTATGTTGGGAGCGAGGGGCCCGAGGGGCCGGATCCATGGATTATCAGACCGAGGTGACGGAATGTCTTGACTGGTTTTGGTCTTTTTATTTGTGCACTGAAGTGCCCAGGTAGTGAAACCTGCTAATACAGTTTGGAAACCTAAACTCTTTTTTTAATCTATACGCAGCGTGTTGTGTAGTGTAGTTGTGGTGGTGTTGTCATAAATTATGCTAAATAATAGCCACAATTATCCGAACCGACCTTATCGAGTCGCGGGTTGTCGAAGCGCGCACGCTTTTGATTGGGTGGAATGTGTCCCGAATGTGTCCCGCATGCTTCCCGAATGCGTCCCCCATGTGTCGCGGAAGTGTCCGGATTGGTCTCAATAGTGTCTTTCGTGCAGGTGAGAAAGAACCCTGCGGGACGGTTTCAGGACTCTTTGACTCGTCACTACAGACTTCCCACAGGACACTTTCGGGATGGGGTTGCAAAATGTCCCGAAAGACACTCCCGGGATACTTTCGGGAAGCGTTTGGGACCTCCGAATCTAGCGATGTGGTAGGATACAATTAGAAGAGTTTTGCCACGGTGCAAAGCGGTTTGAGTTCGAACTTTGTCAGGTTCGGCAAAATCACACACGCCCTTACAAGGACGAAACAGCAGCACTGTGTCAAACTTTGTTCAGGATGGTGAGTAAAGAGCGGTTCAGAGCGGTGACTGAAAACAGATGCTCCGGAACGTACAAAATCGTACTCCACCGCGTTTACTGAGCGGAGGGTGAACCAGCCTACACCCGCCCAATTGCCATGTCCATCACACATCGGGAAATTTCCACGGCGTGTTACAATGACCTCTTTGTCAGAATCCCAGTCACTAACCACTGGGATAAAAGGGCTTGTTTGTGTAGCGGGTGAGTGCGCCCATAACCCCCCAGGCCAACGTGCCTGTAACCCTTCCCTAGGATCAACGGGGATCACCAGTGGACCTCTGACACCCCCCCGCACTGGGATGCCCGAGGTGCACACACCGGGATTCGAACCCGAGACCTTCGCTCTGATACCATGTCAGAATCCCAGTCACTAACCACTGGGATAAAAGGGCTTGTTTGTGTAGCGGGTGAGTGCGCCCATAACCCCCCAGGCCAACGTGCCTGTAACCCTTCCCTAGGATCAACGGGGATCACCAGTGGACCTCTGACACTCTTGTTCGGTAGGCACCCAGTGTGAGTGGGCCCACTCGTACTGGCGAACCCCTCTTGGGGCTTCCTAGCCTCAGGCCTCAACTCGAACTGAAGGCACCTTCGCATTTGAGTTCGGTAGCTTGCGCGACAACAACGAAGTAGCTTCATTCTTGGGTTTTTCCCTCGTCACTCTTACCAAGGCCCTGTTCGGTAGCCTCCCAATCACACTGGGCCCACTCGAACTGGGGAAGACTCTGGTACGTTTCGTAGCCTCGGGTCTCCACTCGCACTAACTGTAAATTTTGTTCATATTTGTGTGAAGTTACTGTGTGTTTGTCAAGAAATTACCACACGAAATTTTACAGCTGTACAAGGCTGCCCCACTCAAAGAGGGCCTGCCTGAGTGGAACTGGAAAGCTGAAATGGGATGGACTTCCACTGACTATCGAGTTTGCCTGGGCATGCCAACTTCGTGGTAGTGTCTTTAACTGCACTCGGAGTGGGTTCATGACGTGTTCGGTAGGCAACCGCACTGGGCAGGTCTGGTGTTCTAATAACGATATTGTAGGCTTTAAGGTAGATCGAAATTGGGCCGCCGAAGATCACCTGCACCAACCGCAGTGTGACTCGGTGTGCTACCGAACAGGGCCCAGATTACAGAGGGGGGGCTTGTAGTGGGCCGCAGCTCCACTCCAAATGGTTTTTGCCAGAGGAAGAAATTTCTCCGTCAGCTTCGTCGCGGCCAGTCTTATCACAGTCAGACTAGCAAACAGCAGCGTTCGGTACCAAAGTCAAACTGGCTAGGTTCGGTGTTCTAGTAACGAGTTTATGGGCTTTAAGCATGTACACATTCGAAACGGGGAACCTGCGCAGACCCATCCGCAGTCTGACTAGGCAGCCTACCGAACAAGGGCAACATTTTTCAAGTACCTAGTGCCTACAGGGGAAGTGTCTCCAGCGTTAGCTCCCTACTAATCAGCGACGGTAGCAGAAGGAGCGCCATACTGATATATAGCTACTTCTCGTTCAGTATATATCGTTTTCTATCGTTCCCGCTCACTTCCGCGTCGTGCGAGCTTCGACTCGTCCAGGTGACGAAATGAGTGCCGCTCGCCTTCCCGCGCTCCTCGCGTTCGCGCTCCCGCTGCTGCTGTTGCTGCTGCTCGTCGCCAGCCTGCTAGTTACCCCGCTGCGCGCCGAGGACAGCGACGCCATCCTTGATAAGGTGAGAATGACGCGCGGCGAGAATGACGAAGGCGGCGGGGGGGGGGGAGGGGGGTGGGGAGGGAGAGGGGGGGCGGAGTGAATGCTGCGCGCCAATTGACGAGCAGCGCCGATTGACGAGCACCAGCTCGTGGGGCGGCGCGCCGAAGACTGACGGCATTCTAGATCGGGTGAGGGGCGAGAGTGACGAGGAGCGCGTGGGGGGGGGAGGGCTGAGGGGGGTGAATTCTGCGCGCCGATGAGGCGGGGCAGAGCCGCGCGGGGGAATGCTGCGCGGGGGAATGCTGCATGCGGAAGACGGTTGTACTCATTCATTCGCATACCTTTCCCCATCCCCTCCCTCGCTTCATTCAAGTCCCTTCCGCTGTCGTCACCTCTGGCTGCACGCCTTTTGAGACGTCTCAAGCGTCTCCTCTCCTCTCCTCTCCTCTCACTGCCTCTCCTCTCTTCTCCTCTCCTCTCCTCTCCTCTCCTCTCCTCTCACCTCCTCTCCTCTCCTCTCCTCTCACTGCCCGCAACGAGGTTCTGGCCCAGTGAGAATGTTTCGAGAATTCGAAACAATGTTTGTAGGTGTCGCATACGTTATTCCCCGCCTCACCTCTCGTGTGACAAGCCAACGAGGCCTCTGGCCCAGCCCCAGGGAAGAGGAGCACGTGGGAATGACAATTCCCGTTTAGGCTGCCACACTGGATTTTCCCATCTCTTTGTTCGAGCTGCTGCACGCACGCATACTCCAAGCCTTGCACATATATCTCTCTCCTTCCCCGCCCTCTCCTCTCTCACTGTGTGCTAATAAGTGCGCGTGTATGACTGAATGCCTGTGACTGAATGCCTATGACTGAATGCCTGTGACTGAATGCCTATGACTGAATGCCTGTGACTGAATGCCTATGACTGAATGCCTGTGACTGAATGCCTATGACTGAATGCCTGTGACTGAATGCCTATGACTGAATGCCTGTGACTGAATGCCTGTGACTGAATGCCGACGACTGAATGCCTATGACTGAATGTCGATGACTGAATGCCTATGACTGAATGCCGATGACTGAATGCCTATGACTGAATGCCTGTGACTGAATGCCTGTGACTGAATGCCTGTGACTGAATGCCTGTGACTGAATGCCTGTGACTGAATGCCGATGACTGAATGCCTATGACTGCGCACCGATGACTGGTGTGGGGGGGGTGTGAGGAGAAGTTGGGCAGTCACAAACATCGCTCCCTCCCCACATGCATGAGTTTCTCTTCCCCACTTGGTAGGTGGAGGAGTGTGAGGAGACGGTGGGTAGTCACAAACATGGTTCCCTCTCCACATGCATGAGTGTCTCTCGCTCCCCTTGCCAGGTGGAAGAGTGTGAGGAGGATGTGGAGAAGCTGAGGAAGCTGCGGTTAGAGGCAGAAAAAATACATCATTGCTGTCAACTATGTTCCCCTTTCCAGGTGGAGGAGTGCGAGGGGAATGTGGGGAGTGCGAGGGGAATGTGGGGAGTGTCGGAAAGAACGAACAGGAATGATGAACTAACAGTGCAAAACAGTACAAGTACCTAACCCTAGAATTGTGTACCCCGTATAGGCTAACCCACTGTAGCCTACACAAGCATAACATATATAATGTTTGACACACCCCCATAGGCAAAGTGGGGGAGAACTAGGGGTCACAAGACCAGTCAAGGCAGAGCAAGGCAAAACAAGCTCAGGGTGGATCTCAAGGATTCCACACAAATTCTGAGCACAAGCAAGCGGTCACAAGACCAGTTCACATGCAGATTTATAACAGAGCAAGAGGTACAATGATCACAACCTAGCAAGAGTAAACATGCAGGTATATATATAAAGATCACAGTACAAAC